GGGCGGCGGCGGGGGCGCGGGCCGGTCCCGGTGACCTCTGCGCCGCTTCTTGCAGCGTTCGCCTGGTTCGCTCGGCCCACCGTGGCGCGGGAGCCGCCGGAAGAGGAGGACGCGGCAGACGAGGCGGAGGCCGAGATCATCCGGCTCCTGAAGCGAGCCAAGGTGAGGGGGCTCGGTCGGGCGTGCGCGCTCTCCGCTCCTCTTCCCCGGGGCCGGGGATGGATTGGCCCTAGGTGCAAGGTTGGGCTCCGTCCAGGCTAGTCGGGGGTGGCTCCTGCGGCAAAACCGCTGCAGTCGTGAGTGCAGGTGGAGACGGCACCCTCACATTTCTCTTTCGTCCAGACGTACTGATGATTGGAGATGTTTGGCGGGGGTGGTTTTAATCAGCTAACCAGCCTAGCCGAAATGACATTTCGTGCACAGTATACGCTTGACGCCCCGAAGATGCAATTTAGTGTTGTTTATATCTCTTGGTTCGCGTCTAAATCTGTTTCTCTGCATTCGTTTTTATTTTAAACTATTCAGGTTTAGTTCATCTCTTCCAGTGGGTTCACTATCGGCTTAATGCCATCAGCGTCCAAATTGGTGTTCACATACTGCAGTGTGCCATTCACATGCTGTCTCGGTTGTGATGCCCCAGCTACCTCAGACTTAGCACGCTCCGAACTAAGAACTTACTCTTAAATGCCTGCCCCCAGATATGTTCCTAAAGTCTTTACCAACGGAAAAACCAGCCTGAAAAAAATCATAGTGGTTCTTGAAGTGCGTTGTTGTTGATTAGTCCCAGTTACACAGCAATAATCACAGTGCCATCAAAATCAAAACACTTCTCAACCCCGCCTCCATTTCCCCACAGTGGTGGTCCTGTTCTCTTGCCCCACCGTATTCTCTCCGTGCAGCAACCGGAGGGATGTTTTGAGAATGTAAACCAGAGCATAGTGCCTTCTTGCCTGATAATTGAGTGACTTCTCACCCTGTTGTGAGGAAGCACAAACCTGTCATGGGCTGCAGGACTGGAAGTGATCTCAGCCAGTTGTCTCACCCTCCTGTGGCAGTAACTCTGTGACTCACTGTCCTTTCTTGCATTTCTTCTGAGGAACCGTTCTTTCCAGCCTATAGGAGCTTCACTCTTGATCTCCGTTGGGGTCATTCTTCTGTCCATTTTGTTATTTGGACACATAATTCTAGTTCTCCTTACCTCATTTTTACTCTCATTTTCTTGACCGGTTCCCTGATTTCATTAGATGAGATCCCCTTGTTATTTGTTTGTGTTGTTTTTCTTCATGGCTTTTCTCATGAGTTTTACTTAAGCCTACTTGTTCTACATGGTCCCTTATAATCTACAGGAAGAGGAAAAGAACGTGAAAGGCACGCAGCGTCCTTGTAAAGTAAATACAGTGTCAGGTGAGGTGGCACACACCTTGGACCGCAGCACTCAGGAGGCAGAGGCAGGCAGATCTCTGTATGGTTGAAGTCAGCCTGGTCTCTGTCTCAGGAGGAGGAAAAAACTAAGAGCTTGCTCACCTTCCTTCTGTCTGGTCTGTTAGTCAAAACTTTGTTGTTACATGAGCACACCTAGATGCAAGGAGGCTGGTCTCCCTGTCCATCTCTGTCAGCGTGGTCCCTGGACATGGTGGGGATTCAGGAAATAGACATGAGCCAATAACTCCCTTACCCACATGACGATTATGTCTACTCTGGAGCAGCGTGCACCCCTGCCCTCCTTACCGTTCATTTACTGTTTTCTTTGTCTTCTCTTTTTAGTTGAGCATCATGAAAGATGAGCCAGAAGCAGCGGAGCTAATTTTGCATGATGCTCTTCGCCTTGCGTATCAGAGTGACAACAAGAAAGCCATCTCTTACACTTACGACTTGGTAACTCCTCTGACCAGTTTGAGCTCTTGATGAGGAAGGGTGGATGCTGACAGAGTGCTCCTCCTAGTTTATCTTCCTGACTCTCAAGATGTCCCGAAGGAAGGTTTTTGTTTTCTATTGGTTTTGGTTTTTGTATCCTCTACGGAGTCACTTACAATTTCAGACCAGAAAGAAACAGCTGTCTTAGTGTTTTTCTCTTCAGTGATGAGTAGATCTAGGTTTAGTTTGCTTTCAACAGAATGTATAAAGTATGTTCTGTGCTTCCCTTATCATTGCTGTATTGAGCTTCCAGAAGATTGACTGGTGACAGAGTTTCTCTGATTTGAACTTTTTTTTTTTTTTTTAAGATTGTGAAATCAGGAAAGAATCTTTCACTTAAAGGTTTTTTAAATCTGTGTGAATTGCAGTGCTCTGAATTGAACAGCTATTTATAATTTGTTTTCAGATGGCCAACTTAGCATTTATCCGAGGGCAACTTGAAAATGTAAGTCAATCACTCTGTAATATCTTGAATTGGTAACTTCTGAAGGGAACTGTAACAGTAAGGGTATGTTATTCCTCAAAAAGGTCCCCAAAGCACAGTGACTCAAGATACAGGTGTGTTTCTCTTTAATTGATTAGTCCCCAGGTAGGCCAAAGAGTAAAAGCAGATTAGGCATCTCTGTTGTGTGGTTCATCTTAAGGTATGTCTTCATCTGCGTGAGTGAGCTGACTCATGCAGCCTGAGGGAAGGGAAAAGGGGAGAATTCGAGGCAAGCAGCATCCTTGTGAAATGTCTTAAAGGTGTTGACATTCTCTGCCTGTTACTATTAGCCAGAACTTAAATCTGTGGTATGATCACACCTAATTGTAAGGAAAGCTGATTCAAAAATGGAGGATATTTTAAAAACTTGATAGGGTGAATATTAGGGGACAGTTTGCAGTCTGTCACATTGGTTCAGGTGATTAATCTTTTGAAGTTAGTTTCCACTCATCACAGGGTACTTTAAGGTACAGAGAAGATGTGAGGTCCTGATCTTTTGGTCCCTTTATAAGAGTTTCAGTGTTCCCTATATTTGTGTGTGTGTGTGTGTGTGTGTGTGTGTGTGTGTGTGTGTGTGTGTGTGTGTGTTGTGTGTGTGTTCAGGCATGCACATTAGATTGATACTTATAAACAAGGGTCATATATAGATGGTTAAAAAAATCCTTATGCTTTTAGGCAGAACAACTTTTTAAAGCGACCATGAGCTACCTGCTTGGAGGAGGTATGAAACAGGTAAGCTATTATTGCCTCTGCGTTGAAGCCGTTAACAAAAACTCTCTTAGTGAGGGTTTCTGTGGCTCTAATAAACACCATGGGCAAAAGAAACTTAGGGAGGGAAGGGTTTGTTTCGTCTTAAACTTTCTGGGGATAGTCCATCACTGAGGGAAGTCTGGGCAGGAACTCCAGGCAGGAACCTGGAAGCAGGAACTGAAGCAGAGGACGTGGAGAAATGCTTCTGACTGGCTTGCTTTCTGAGGCTCAGCCTGCTTTCTTATACCACCCACAGTGGGCTGGACACGCCCACATCAGTCATTAACCAGTAAAATGCCCCGCAGACTTCTTTACATACAGTCTGATGGAGGCATTTTTCTCAATTGAGGTTTCTCTTTTCAGATAACTGTAGCTTGTGTCTAATTGACCAAAAAACCAACCAGGATACCCTGTAGCCCCAGGCCCCTAACATAGGTGCTTTGTCAAAAAAGTGGTTATTTCACCCTTAGGCCTGTAAAAAATGGCTAGTATTTTAGATTCTGAGTGATGATTGCCAAAGAATTCATAGTTGGTTAATTCTTTTTTTTTTTTTTTTTAATTTATTTATTTATTATGTATACAGAAGAGGGTGCCAAATCTCATCACAGATGGTTGTGAGCCACCATGTGGTTGCTGGGAATTGAACTCAGGACCTTTGGAAGAGCAGTCGGTGCTCTTAACCTCTGAGCCATCTCTCCAGCCCTGGTTAATTCTTTTAAAGGAAGAAATACTGGCTTTGAGGCCAAATTCAGTAGAGAAGTTGGAAATACTCCATAAGAAAATTTTACTTCTCATGAAATTCCTTTTTTTTTTTTTTTTGGTACCAACAGGAAGACAATGCGATTATTGAAATCTCTCTGAAGCTGGCCAGTATCTATGCTGCTCAGAATAAGTAAGTATGATCAGAATATAGATGTGGCAGTAACCAGGGAGTAGAGTGATGAGCAGAACATTCAGACCTTGGGGTTTTATAGAATCTTAAATTTACCTGTCAATCATCCAGGTCTCCAAAAAATGGAGTGTCACACTCAGGGTTGCATTTCTCATCTTTGTAGTTTGGAGGCCTTTCCGGTTTCCCTCCTTCTGTTTCTGTTTCCCTGAGCAGAACACAGCCCTCATCCCTGTAACTGCACTGATAGCTAGTCAGATACTTGATTCTTGCTTGAAATGAGAAGAGAAGTGGAGTGAGACCTGTAGTTAACTCTTCCTAGACGCAAAGGGAACAGTGTAAAAAGTACCACAGCATAATAGACGTGAAGAACCCAATCAGTTGCTACCAGCCAAAGAGGAAGTTAGGTATGAGGTTAAATGGTGAGGATTACTCTTGGGTTATCTCTGGCTCAGCTTACTATCCATTCTGGGAAATAAGTGCTGTCTCAGTTAGGTTTTCTTTTGTTGTGTTAAAACATGACCAAAAGCAACTTGGAAAGGAAAGGGTTTATTTGGCATGTATATATGGAGGGAAACCAAGGCAGGAACTCAAAATGGACAGGAACCTGGAGGCAGGAACTTAGGCAGAGGCCATGGGGGAGTGCTGCTTACTACTGCTTTGGTTGGCCTGAATTCTTAGAGCACCCAAGACCATCAGTCCAGGGTGGTGCCATCCACATCAGTCACTAAGAAAATGCCCCACATGTTCATCTACAACCCACTTAATGGAGGCATTTTCTCAGTTGAGGTTCCCTCCTCTTAGATGACTCTAGCTTGTGTCACGTTGTCATAAAGGTAACCAGCACAGTACGTGGAATTAGATGTTTTGTTTCAGTGTCTTCAGAGCATGTGGAAATAATCGTTGGTAGGATTTTGGAGGAGATATAGCCAGCAGCAGAGGGAAGTCTGTATATGGAAGTTAGGAATTAGGTTTAAAAATAGTAGATAAGGTCTTTTTTTGTTTTGTTTTTAATTCATTTTAGAGACAGGGCTTCTTTATGTTGCCCTGGCTATCCTGGAACTCACTATGTAGACCAGGCTGGCCTCAAACTCATACTTGTCTCTGCTTCCTGAGTGCTGGGATTAAAGGTGTGTACCATCACAAGTAACCCTAAATTCTTGTAAAGAAGAAAAGGCCCATCAGCTAAATGGAAGACTTGAGGAAACAGTTTAGATGTTGCCAAAAGCTAGAAATCCATGAGGCCTTAAGGACCTTTGTCTTGGGTTTCTTTTGCTCTGATAAAATACAGTCTATTGAGGGAAGCCAAAGCGGAGAGTTAAGGCAGGAACTGAAGCAGAAGCCTTGGAGGAGTGATGCCTACTGGCTTGCTTTTCTTGGCTCGCTCAGTTTGATTTCTTATATACCCCAGACTGTCTGCCTTGGGTAACACTACCCATAGCGGTCTGGGCCCTGCTGTGTCGATTGTCGATCAAGAAAATGCCCCCCATACACACACAAATTTGCTTACAGGATAATCTAATGGGACATTTCCTCAGCCGAGAGTCCCTCCTTAATTCTAGATTGTGTCATAGTGACAAAAAAAAATAGCATGATTGACCCCTCATCTCCTTGACACAGACACACATCACTGTTCACATGGAACCTTTCCTAGTGCACTTGTCCCCAAGAAGTCATGTTAATGTTATTGTCACAAAATAAAACAACCTTTTTTGAGACAGGGTCAGCCCTAGCTGTTCTGGTACTCACTGTGTAGACCAGGCTGGCCTCTGCTGTCTGAGTGCTGGAATTAAAGGTGTGTATTGTCACGCCTGGCCTAAAACATAACATAACTTTAAAAATTGTACAGTCTTAAAAAAAAATTCAAATGCTTTCAAATTCAGCCACTTTAAAATATCCAACTGTGGGTTTCTGTAAAACCAAAGTAAGTTACATACTGTGTATTCTAAGGGAAGAACCAGGGCACAGTTATGATCAGAACAAAGCAAAACCCAGTTCTTCTCAGAAGTATAAATAGCTGTTATATCTGAGACTCAAGGTCTGGTCTCCAAAGGGTTGGGCAGCCCCAGCTCTTGCCCCCTCCATACACAGCGTATAGGCTTGGGTCAGCGCCGCTCCACACTTGTCCTGTGATTATATTAATCTCCGGTAAGCTGGGGTCTTCACTGCAACTGAGGCTGCACTTTCACCATGTGCAGGGACTCCACCCTTGCCATGCAGGGCCGGAGCTGTTACCCATGACCCTCCATGCCTTCAGAACCAATACTGGGTGACTCTTAGCAGGTTTGGACCACAGCTTCCATGTGTTGACCCTCAGGGAACAGCTCCAGAGTATTTCACCTCAGTGATACTGGTAGTAAAGTCCCCCTAATGTCTCAGCTTTGACTGAGTGCCATTGACTGTTCTGCAAAGCAAAGGCTTCCCTTCATGGGAATGGTGCTGGTCTTTTGTGAATCACGGCTGATTCTTCAGCTCCAGCTGATGAGAAACCACAGATTTTTTTTTTGGTTCTTCTAGACAGGATTTCTCCATGTAATTTTGGTACCTGTCCTGGATCTCACTCTGTAGACCAGGCTGGCCTCGAACTCACAGACATCCACCTGGCCCTGCTGGGATTAAAGGCGTGTGCCACTACCATCCAGTGAAATCACCGATTCTTACTACAAAAAAGCATCCAGACGGCCCTGACAGTCCTTGTTTCCCTCTGAAACGTCCCAGGTCAGGCCTCATTCGTCTGCATCTCTTTAGCATTCCTATCTTCCGTGCCACCTCAACAGCCTGGTAAGTTCTGAGCGTTGAGTGGCTTCCCAGACTGAAGGTTCAGGGTCCTTCCACAGTTGCCCCAAAACAGTGTGATCAGGTCTGTCAGCCACACCTCACGGTCCTGGTACCAACTTACGTCTTAGTCAGGGTTGCTTTTGCTATAGTCAAACACCATGACCAAAAGTGACTTGGGGAGGAACGGGTTTGTTTTATTTATAACTGTCGAGTCACACAGTATCATTGAAAGAAGTCACGGCAGAAACTCAGCAGAACCCTGGAGGAGCACTGCTTACTGGTTTGCTCCCCTTGGCTTGCTCAGTTTGCTTTCTTAGATACTTATCTATCTATATATCTTAAGTAGGCACCACCCATATCAATCATCAGTCAAGAAAATGTCCCACATGTTGGCCTCCGAAGCCGGTATAAGGGCATTGTTTCAGCGGTTCCTTCATCTTTGCTGTTTTTCCCTTGGTCCTAGATGACAGAACGGTACCCGGCACAGCCTTTCATTTGTCTCTAGGTAGAGTTCGAGGGGGAGCACAGAGGATGTAAATCAGGAGCATCTCTAGAGTTCTATTTTGGAAGTGGGTTTAGAGAGAGAAGTAAGGCCTTTAGGTTTCCTTTAGATTTTTAGCTGCTGCAGAGGTCAATGCCCGAGATTTGATGTCACGTCAACCTGGATGCAATTCAAAAAAGTTGCTCTTTGCAGTAGAGGTCCCAACTCTAACCTCTGTTCTAGTCAACAACTCCATTTTGTCAGCCTTCTTAGTTTCTCTGAATGTTGATTGGGTAGATAGGCTGGAACTTCTGTGGGACTTTGACTTCGAGTCTTTCTGGGTTTTGAGATGGGGGCTTGTTCTGTAACATAGGCTAGCCTGGATTACAGACATAAAACACAACATAGCTCTTGACTCAAATCTTGAGTTTCAAGTTTGGCTGGTGCCAGAGAACATTGCAGTTGTGGCTACTCTTGATAGTAGCATCCTACAGATCTAGATGTTAATGATGTCTCAGTTCCTCTGACGAGTAGAAGTTCAAAGCAAATAAATGATGAATGCTAAAAAATAAGAAAGATTCATAAGTCGAAAGCTTTTACAGTGTCTATTAACAATTAGTACTTAAGTTGCTTTACTTTTTTTCACGTTGTTTTGTTAAGGGAAGCATGAGATAAGAAAACACTGACTGAGTGTTGGGGTGTAGCACAGTGTTGGAGTGCTTGCCTAGCATATTTGAGGCCCTGGGTACTGCAGGAAAAGGCCAAGATAGGGAGTTGTCTGTAGACCTTTTACTTGGACAGCATCTTGAGGTAGCCTCTCTTACCATGGGGCTGGAGGCATCTCTTCTACCAAGGTTTGGGACTGGAGAAGGAAGAAGATGCTTTATTCTGAGAATAAAGCAGAACAGTGGCTCATCAGATCCTTCCTGGCGAAGCACTAGAGGATAAAGCATGAACTTCACAATGTCAGTTGTGGTAAGAAAGTAGAGCCAGTGTGAAAGCAAGAACTGGAGTTGGAGAAGGAATTTCTCCATGTTCCTTTGCATCTCTGTAAAAGCTATCCAGCATCGATCTAGGTGCTTGTGTGCCTCCTCAGTTCATCTCAGAGCCCAGGACTGTCATCAAGCTCTCCCATATCATAGCTAGTATTTTTTCCATAGAATAAATGTCGAATAAGTCAAAACACAGCTTGAGAGAAATGTTCAGCCCCCAGAGTTTCCCAGAAGTGCATGATGGCAACAGTTGGGAACCTCTGGGCCTGGAGTCTGAGCCTCAGGGTGGGGCTTTGCCATGTGGAGAGACAGACTTGAAACTCTATAATGGGAGATGATGAAAGACTAGGGGTTATACAGCAGTGAAAATGTTGGCAGCATCCCTTAATTAAATAAATGACTTAAAAGCAAACAAACTTTGGGGAAATGCAGATTGACAGCCCAGAGATACAAACTTCCCCCTATTGGTAATGCTTAGACCAGAGCTCTGATTATGAGGGTAAAGAGGAGTTTGAGAGAAGGTGAGCACAGCTGATTGATTGTTGATACTTGTTTCCAGACAGGAATTCGCCCTTGCTGGCTATGAGTTCTGCATTGCAACTCTAGAGGAAAAAATTGAAAGAGAAAAGGAATTAGCAGAAGATGTTTTGTCAGGTAGGAAAATTGACTTGTCTAGGTGTTGGGTTTTCTCCACAAAGGTTTCCATTGCTGGATGTTCATTAAGGGAAAGAGCCCATGTTGTGGGAGGGCAAATTATCCATTCTGGGAAGTAAGTGGCTATGAGGATGCCACTTGAAGTAGGGTGTTTGTTGAAATGACGAGGCCTCTTAGGTGGCAGGTTGATAATTTCTCTGCTAATCTCTGCTACATTTGTAATCTTTGGAAATTGATAAATACAAAGGCAAGTCTTTTCTTTTTGTTCAGTCACTTCTTAAAATATAGCTGAATGGGAGAGCACTTGCCTGCCAGGTACAAATCCCTAAATTAGGGAGAGAAAGAAAATGAATCTAAATATGCAGCAGGTTAAGGAAAAAGAGAAAGTTCATATTCATGCAGGCCATCTGCACTCATGAAGGCTGAGAGCATAGTTGGGTGGGAGGGGAACTTTCAAGTGCTTTTTTTTTTTTTTTTTTGAGATAGGGTTTCATGTAGTCCTGGCTGGCCTGGAGCTTGCTATATAGACCTCTCATTCTGAGATACACCTGTGTCTGCCTCTTGAGGCTCAGATTAAAGGTGTATGCCTTTACACTCGGCTTTTGCTTAGGTTTCTTACTTGATTTGAAGTACTAGGAATTTGCAGATTTTACATTCATGGAGAAACTTTTTTTTTTTTTTTTTTTTTAAAGATTTATTTATTTATTATGCATACAATGTTCTGCCTGCATGTGTCCCTGCAGGCCAGAAGAGGGCACCAGATCTCATTACAGATGGTTGTGAGCCACCATGTGGTTGCTGGGAATTGAACTCAGGACCTCTGGAAGAACAGTCAGTCCTCTTAACCTCTGAGCCATCTCTCCAGCCCCTCATGGAGAAACTTGTTATGTACTGACTCCATGCCAAGAGGGAGCAAGATGCTAGGAGACCATGAGACCAAAGCAGAGCTCCTGGGAAGAGTTGTCTGTGCCTTGAAGTCTTCTTCTGTTGAACGTAGATTTTCTTCACCACCACTCCACAATGTCTCCAAGTTCTAGCATTGAACTGCCTTACTCATTAGTAGCTTTGATTCATGGGATCAGTGCTGTCTCCTACAGAAAAAAATATCCTTTGACTTCTGGGGCATCTGTCTCATTGGTCTTTTCCCTACATCATCCCTATTTCCAGATAGTGGCTGGCCTCTGAGGCCCTCTTTTTCCTCTGGCTCACACCCTAGGAAATGTCATGTAGTCCCATAACATTGAACTATTATATTTATACCTCCCAGCTGGCACCAAGACAGCACTTATGGGTCTAGTCTTATATTTGAGTATACTGTTTAATGGTTTTCCAACATTAGATATGTGCAAAATGGGTCTCTTCATTTCTGCTGCTCAAAAGTTTCTTCTCTGGTCAGCCCCAGGTTAGTGACACCAGCATTCACCCAGTAGCTTGGGCAGAGAACCTAAGAATTTTCTGTGGTTTCTTCCTTATACCTAGTCTACCAACAAGTTACATTATTAGATCAACTATGAAAATTCATCCACATTAGACTACATCTCTCACCCTCTTACCCACTGCTTCATGGAGGTCATCATCCTTGTGGCCTGCATGCTGATCTCAGTTTTCTTGCTTCCTTCCCTTTACTCCCTCAAGTAATCTGTTGTCCACATAGCAGGCAAACTAATCTTGTACACCCTATTGCTTCGTTATTGCCTTTAGAATAAATTCATGATCCTCACAAGGATCCACGACCTGGCTTCCACCTGCTTCTGTGGCTTCATTATCTTCTCTTCCCTGCTCATTTCACTGGCCACATTGCTCTTTTCCCTGGTCTTGCAAATCTCAAGCCCACACCATCTCAAGGCCTTTTCATTCAATATGCCTTCCCCTAGACTGCTCTCTCACTGCCTTACTTCATTCAAGTTCAGTGTCTTCCTCAGAGGCCTGTCCTAACACAGGCATCTTTTCCCATTTGGTGTCGTTCAGTCTCTGTCCTTTAACTGTTCTTTACCATCCTTGTACCAAAGTAGTGTGTTGAAGTGTGGGTGTTATGTGCTTGTGTCTGTATTACCAGTAGAAGTACATTGTTTTGTACAACTCTTTAGTATTTGTCTTCTCTACCAAAGAGAAATCAAGATGTCATCTGTTGTATTGAATCCTTAGTGCCTGGAAGAGTGCCTAGCACCTAACGGGCTCAGTAATTCCTGAAAGAACACAAAACTTGGCACAGAGCAGCAAGTACATAGAGTTCAGTGCAGTTTGGAAGAGCTTGAAGAAGCCCAGAGAAGGTATGAACAAGGCCCAGTCACAGAGTATTAGTCATTCAGTGTCCACACCCTTGCCATTGTGCATTGGAATATTTATTACTAGTATTTTTTCCTGCTTCTTTGTCTCTCCCTCCCTCCCCACTCTCTCTCCCCCATCTCCCCTTTTCTTCCTCCCCCCTTCTCTGTCTCTCTCTCAGAAGGGACATTGCTGTATAGGCCAGACTGGCATCACATTTAAGGTACTCATTCTGCCTCAGCCTCTTCACCAGTGTGAGCCATTGTCAGTGGCCCTTGATTTAATCCCTGTCTGTCTTTCTCACTCACTCTGTCCAGGATCTCATGTATCTCAGGCTGGCCTCAAACTTACTATATAGCCAAGGATGACTTTATATTTCTCATCGTCCTGCCTCCACCTTCTGAGTGCTAGGATTCTACCATATTGGTTTCTGTTGTCTTGTGGATGGAACTCAGAGCTAGGCAAGCCCTTTACCAAATGATCTGCATTTTTAATTCCTTGATTAAGAGTATAAAACTTAAAAGTATAACTTTATTATAGTCTTTATTCCTTTGTTAAGAGTATAGAGCTTTTTCCAACTCCAAAAATAGTTACTAATTTTCTAAAGAAAATTCTGGAGAACATTATGAAGAAAGTGAAGATAATCCTGTTGCTAAGAAAGAACAGCTGTTTATATTGTAACCCAACTTTTAATAATATACTGTATAAATATATTTCTGTTATTTCTAGGCAAATTTTTTTTTTTTTTTAACGTGCATTAGTGTTTTGCCATGGGTGTCAGGTCTCCTGAAACTGGAGTTACAGACAGGTGTGAGCTGCAGTGTGGGTGCTGGGATTTGAACCTGAGTCCTGGAAGCAGTCAGTGACTTTAACTGCTGAGCCATCTCTCCAGCCCTACAAAAGAATTCTTGTTAGCTATGCAAACTGATTTCTGTGTGTGTGTGTGTGTGCGCACGTGTGTGCGTGTGAGTGAGTGTGTGAGTGTGCTTGCTCATCTATGTGCATGGAAGGGACAGTTTTGGATGTTGTTCCTCAGATGCTGGCCATTGTGTTCTGGGGAGTCAGGTTTACTTACTGGCCTAGAACTTACCAAGTAGGCTAGGCTGGCTGGTCATCAAGCCTCAGGAATCCCCCTGTCTCTGCTTCCCTGGTGCTAGTATTACAAGCACATGCCACCATACCTTCCATACCTTGCTTTTTAAAATATAAATTCTAGCATGAGACTCTGGCATGGTAAATGATTTACCAAATTCAAGTGTAGTGGCTCATGCCTGCATTTTCAGCATTTGGGGAGCTGAGGCAAGAGTATTACTGTGAGTTTGAGAACAGCTTAGGCTACAGAGTGAGACTCTGTCTTAACAAAGAAAGGGAATGCTGAGGAGAAAGCTTACTCCTTAAAATGTTCTCTATGCAAACATTTAGATCCGAGTTTGATCCTCAGAACCTGCTGTGAGCCGCATAAATATGAAGCAGGAACTCAGCTGGCACTGACAAGGATGACCCATTAGAGCCAGGGGCTCTGGTGGAGGTTGACGCCAAAACTCAGGGAGTTTTGACTGTATTCGCTGTTTCCTGCAGTGAATTTCTTGTGTGCTATTGTAGCCTTCCCATCTGATTCTTTTCCCAAGAACTTCTGATGACGTGATTGATCATTTATTGGGCACAACTCCCCCTATACATTTAGGGTATTTGGATAATGTTCCCCACCTGTGTTGGAAAAAGTCACACAGTCAAGACCTCTTTCCCATAATCAGGTCTTTGTTCCTCTTTCTAGCATAGACTTAGAGTCTACCTTTCTATAATTATCTTCCTTAGCAGACATCTGGCCACTGCCATCTCCCAACAAAAGTATTTCATCTGAAACACTTCTCAAACTTCCAAGAACAGCCTGCAGGTAGATGAGTGCTAGTGTGCCCTTAGTTCATCTCGCCTTCAGATAAGAGAAGCTAACCCCACTGACCTTAACCCCTCACCTTCACCCCGGTTTTTTAACACAAGACCCTAATTTAAGAGGTTTACTGCTTGCAGTTCCCAGGGTGGTGTTCGGCCACCTGCTAGTTACTGAGATAGGTAAATATTCCCACTGACCCAGTGAGACAACCGCCAAGGCCAGGGGCATGATAGGTGCCGAGCTTTATTTCTTGTGCAAATTAAGCTGAAATCCTCCTCTTTAATTCCATAGCCCAAGTGTTATCCTTAGTTCTAAAGATTCCCCCCTTTAGCAGTTAACTCAGAACCCAAGTGTTTTTATGAACCAAATGCTACATGTTGTTACGAAGGTTGCCTAGTAACTGAGAACACTTCCCCTACCCTGCAAGAAAACGGAGCCACCGAGGAGAAGTGGCACCCAAAGGACAAAAGGACAGTTTGACTTGACTCGAGATTATACTGACATGTAGACTCCGAACCTTTTACCTAGCCACTTCAGGAATATGCTCTGAGCTCAGGAATTCCTTTTTAGATCCCCTAATTGATTTTAGCCCTTAGTTGACCCTACCAGGGAACTTCTATTAGCCACTTCCCCTTTGGGTTGTAAATGAAAGCTGACAGTTACCACTCCTTTTGTGGATCTTATCACCTCTCTCCATGACCCTGAAAACTTCAAGCCTGGCATTGCATTGCCAAGGAATTAGTGCTTGTAGGTATATATAAACAGGTACCCCCACAGCTTTGACTTAGAAGAATAAAGTGAATGGACTAAAAGAGCTGAATGTATGTAGATTCATTCAATATCC